GGGGGGGGAAGATTTATGTAGGAGGCTTCTATCAGTGTGTTTTACTTTGTTATTTCAGACATGAGAAGTGTAATGTGATGGATTCTAAGAAGAAACCTCTGTGGTTACACTGGACCAATGCGGACGAGAGGGGCCAGGATATCCTCATCATGTACAAAAATGGGGATGGTGAGTTAACTCAGAGATGACGGGGAATTAACAAACAAATGAATGATTCATAGCAAGGAATAACAAAAAAAACTCAAATTCTGAATTCATTCACAATATCAAAATCTAAGAAAATCAAGATATGTGTGAGAGACTAAAAGTTATATTTGTTAACTAATGAAAATACATAAGTAAACAACTCGGTTTGCCATGTAAAACGTATTAACCTTTTGACTTTTCTTTCCAATTTTTTTTTATAACTTTGTAGTATTTCTAATTATTTTGACAGATCTGAGACAGGATATGTTGACCCTACAAATGTTTACAATCATGGATAACATCTGGAGGGAAGAGGAACTAGATCTCAGGTAAATCTGTAACATTTGGAATAAAGAGGAAATAGATCTCGGGTAAATCTTTAACATTTGGAATTAAGAGGAACTTAATTTCAGGTAAATCTGTAACATTTGGAATTTAGAGGAATTAAATCTCAGGTAAATCTGTCGTTTGGAATTTAGAGGAACTAAATCTCAAGTAAATCTGTAACATTTGGAATATACAGGAAGTAAATCTCAGGAAAATCTGTAACATTTGGAATTTAGAGGAACTAAATCTCAGGAAAATCTGTAACATTTGGAATTTAGAGGGACTAAATCTCAGGAAAATCTGTAACATTTGGAATTTAGAGGAGTGAAATCTCAGGTAAATCTGTAACATTTGGAAATTAAAGGAACTAAATCTCAGGAAAATCTGTAACATTTGGAAATTAGAGGGACTAAATCTCAGATAAATCTGTAAGATTTGGAATTTAGAGGAATTAAATCTCAGGTAACTCTGTCGTTTGGAATTTAGAGGAACTAAATCTCAAGTAAATCTGTAACATTTGGAATATACAGGAAGTAAATCTCAGGAAAATCTGTAACATTTGGAATTTAGAGGGACTAAATCTCAGGAAAATCTGTAACATTTGGAATTTAGAGGGACTAAATCTCAGGAAAATCTGTAACATTTGGAATTTAGAGGGACTAAATCTCAGGAAAATCTGTAACATTTGGAATTTAGAGGGACTAAATCTCAGGAAAATCTGTAACATTTGGAATTTAGAGGGACTAAATCTCAGGAAAATCTGTAACATTTGGAAATTAGAGGAGCTAAATCTCAGATAAATCTGTAAGATTTGGAATTTAGAGGAATTAAATCTCAGGTAACTCTGTCGTTTGGAATTTAGAGGAACTAAATCTCAAGTAAATCTGTAACATTTGGAATATACAGGAAGTAAATCTCAGGAAAATCTGTAACATTTGGAATTTAGAGGAATTAAATCTCTGGTAAATCTGTCGTTTGGAATTTAGAGGAACTAAATCTCAAGTAAATCTGTAACATTTGGAATATACAGGAAGTAAATCTCAGGAAAGTCTGTAACATTTGGAATTTAGAGGAACTAAATCTCAGGTAAATCTGTAACATTTGGAATTTAGAGGAATTAAATCTCAGGTAACTCTGTCGTTTGGAATTTAGAGGAACTAAATCTCAAGTAAATCTGTAACATTTGGAATATACAGGAAGTAAATCTCAGGAAAATCTGTAACATTTGGAATTTAGAGGGACTAAATCTCAGGAAAATCTGTAACATTTGGAATTTAGAGGGACTAAATCTCAGGAAAATCTGTAACATTTGGAAATTAGAGGAACTAAATCTCAGATAAATCTGTAAGATTTGGAATTTAGAGGAATTAAATCTCAGGTAAATCTGTAATATTTGGAATTTAGAGGAACTAAATCTCAGGTAAATCTGTAACATTCGGAATTTAGAGGAATTAAATCTGTAACATTTGGAATATAGAGGAACTAAATCTCAGGTAAATCTGTAACATTTGGAATTTAAAGGAACTAAATCTCAGGAAAATCTGTAACATTTGGAATTTAGAGGAGTGAAATCTCAGGTAAATCTGTAACATTTGGAAATTAGATGAACTAAATCTCAGGAAAATCTGTAACATTTGGAATTTAGAGGAACAAAATCTCGGGAATCTGTAACATTCGGAATTTAGAGGAATTAAATCTGTAACATTTGGAATATAGACGAACTAAATCTCAGGTAAATCTGTAACATTTGGAATTTAAAGGAACTAAATCTCAGGAAAATCTGTAACATTTGGAATTTAGAGGAATTAAATCTCAGGTAAATCTGTAACATTTGGAAATTAGAGGAACTAAATCTCAGGAAAATCTGTAACATTTGGAAATTAGAGGAACTAAATCTCAGGTAAATCTGTAACATTTGGAATTTGGAGGAATTTAATCTCGGATAAATCTGTAACATTTGGAAATTAGAGGAACTAAATCTCAGATAAATCTGTAACATTTGGAATTTAGAGGAACTAAATCTCAGGTAAATCTGTAACATTTGGAATTTAGAGGAACTAAATCTCAGGTAAATCTGTAACATTTGGAATTTAGAGGAACTAAATCTCAGGTAAATCTGTAACATTTGGAATTTAGAGGAACTAAATCTCAGGTAAATCTGTAACATTTGGAATTTAGAGGAACTAAATCTCAGGTAAATCTGTAACATTTGGAATTTAGAGGAACTAAATCTCAGGTAAATCTGTAACATTTGGAATTTAGAGGAACTAAATCTCAGGTAAATCTGTAACATTTGGAATTTAGAGGAACTAAATCTCAGGTAAATCTGTAACATTTGGAATTTAGAGGAACTAAATCTCAGGTAAATCTGTAACATTTGGAATTTAGAGGAACTAAATCTCAGGTAAATCTGTAACATTTGGAATTTAGAGGAACTAAATCTCAGGTAAATCTGTAACATTTGGAATTTAGAGGAACTAAATCTCAGGTAAATCTGTAACATTTGGAATTTAGAGGAACTAAATCTCAGGTAAATCTATAACATTTGGAATTTAAAGGAACTAAATCTCAGGTAAATCTGTAACATTTGGAATTTAGAGGAACTAAATCTCAGGTAAATCTGTAACATTTGGAATATAGAGGAACTAAATCTCAGGTAAATCTTTAAAATTTGGAATTAGAAGGAACTAAATCTCAGGTAAATCTGTAACATTTGGAATTAAGAGGAACTAAATCTCATGGAAAAATCTTTAAAATTTGGAATTAAAAGGAACAAAATCCCTGGTTAATCTAACATTTGGAATTTAGAGGAACTAAATCTCAGGTAAATCTGTAACATTTGGAATTAAAAGGAACAAAATCCCTGGTGGAATTTAGAGGAACTCAATCTCAGGTAAATCTGTGACATTTGGAATTTAGATGAACTAAATCTCAGGAAAATCTGTAACATTTGGAATTTAGAGGAAGTAAATCTCAGGTAAATCTGTAACATTTGGAATTTAGAGGAACTTAATCTCAGGTAAATCTGTAATATTTGGAAATAAGAGGAACTAAATCTCAGATAAATCTGTAACATTTGGAATTAAAAGGAACTAAATCTCAGGTAAATCTGTAACATATGGAATTTAGAGGAACTAAATCTCAGGTAAATCTGTAACATTTGGAATTTAGAGGAATTAAATCTCAGGTTAATCTGTAACATTTGGAATTTAGAGGAACTAGATCTCAAGTAAATCTTTAAAATTTGGAATTAAAAGGAAATAGATCTCGGGTAAATCTTTAACATTTGGAATGAAGAGGAACTTAATTTCAGGTAAATCTGTAATATTTGGAATTAAAAGGAACTAAATCTCAGGTAAATCTGTAACATTCGGAATATATAGGAATTAAATCTCAGGTAATTCTGTAATATTTGAAATTAAGAGGAACTAGATCTCAAGTAAATCTTTAAAATTTGGAATTAAAAGGAACTAAATCTCAGGTAAATCTGTAATATTTGGAATTAAAAGGAACTTAATCTCAGGTAAATCTTTAAAATTTGGAATTAAAAGGAAATAGATCTCGGGTAAATCTTTAACATTTGGAATGAAGAGGAACTTAATTTCAGGTAAATCTGTAATATTTGGAATTAAAAGGAACTAAATCTCAGATAAATCTTTAACATTTGGAATTCAGATGAAATAGATCTCATGTAAATCTGTAACATTTGGAATTAATAGGAACTTAATCTCAGGTAAATCTTTAAAATTTGGAACTAGAAGGAACTAAATCTCAGGTTAATCTGTAACATTTGGAATTCAGATGAAATAGATCTCGTGTAAATCTGTAACATTTGGAATTAAGAGGAATTAAATCTCAGGTAAATCTATAACATTTGGAATTTAGAGGAACTAAATCTTAGGTAAATCTTTAAAATTTGGAATTACGGTAAGAGGAACTAAATCTCAGGTAAATCTTTAAAATTTGTAATTAAAAGGAACAAAATCCCTGGTAAATCTAACATTTGGAATATAGAGGAACTAAATCTCAGGTAAATCTGTAACATTTGGAATAAAGAGGAACTAAATCTCAGGTAAATCTGTAACATTTGGAATTTAGAGGAAGTAAATCTCAGGTAAATCTGTAATATTTGGAATTAAGAGGAACTAGATCACAGGTAAATCTGTAATATTTGGAATTTAAGGAACTAAATCTAAGGTAAATCTGTAACATTTGGAATATAGAGAAACTTAATTTCAGGTAAATCGGTAATATTTGGAATTAAGAGGAACTAGATCTCAGGTAAATCTATAACATTTGGAATTAGAGGACTTGGATCTCAGAGAAATATTTACCATTTGGAATAAAAAGGAACTAGATCTCAGAGAAATCTATAACATTTGGAACTGATCAGATCTTCATAAGATTTCGTAATTTGTCATGAAAGTTTTTCATAATTCTGTGCAGGAAAGAATAATTGCTATTGTTTTAGATTTTTAAGCATATTCCTAGCAAAAACTTGTGGCTGTTTTGATTCACACTGACTGTTTGTCTTAGGATGAACCCGTACCTTTGTGTGGCTACTGGATCTATGGAGGGAATGATCGAGGTGGTTCAGAACTCTGCTACCATTGCTAAGATCCAAGGCAAGGGACAAAAATCTGCCTTTAACAAGACAGCATTGTTTAACTGGCTCAAACAGAAAAACCCACTGGAAGAAAAGTGAGTATAAATAGAATAAACTGACCTTAACAGGATAAATTCTTCACTTGACATCCAATTTTTAGTGAGAACTATTATAAACCGGGAAAATGCCACCCAGCCAAATATTCACCCTTTGCCGACAAAATAGATGTTCACTCTGTGTTAATTCCGCCCTTCATTTCTAATAACTTTATATAGTATACTGTCTAGCTACTTGTATTTGCTGTCATGATGAATTCACCCTCAGTGAGGAGGGTGAAAAAGGTGAAAGTTACATGTAAACTGCAGTGAAAATTTAAAAAATGTGCCTACCAATGCAAGCTGGTATTTAATTGAATAAATAAAAGCTATAATTTACAAAATTCAGCACTAGACACCCAAATTAGAAAATGTCTTAATCAAACATATGGGAGCTAAGATGTAAGGTTTAGTCAAAATACTAAAAATAGGCCATGGGGTAATGGTCCTTACCAAGGAATCCAAAAAGACTAAACTTTTTGAAATCTGACATTATGATACATTAACAAAATCTGTATGACACAGACTGTAGCCATCAGCGACGTAGGATAGTAATCATGATATCCTGCTTATGTTGTGTTTTGTAACATGTACAGTTGTTGCAGTTTAAGTTTCTAGGAAACTTACTGAGTACTGAATCAGGGAAATATTTTGTAAAATATCTTGCAGAAAATTAAGCATTAAACGAACAATTGTATGTACATGTTTTGATTGAAGCAAAACTACACATTTTGTGTTCTATTGGGCCTTAATTCACTCGTTTATTGCATGATTGAGTACATTTTCCCCTGCTAGAGCCTTCATAAAATATATTCATATACATACGCTATACGCCTTTGCAATCTGAGACATGAGAGTGATAGATATGGATAAGATGACTCTTACATGCCCAGGGGTACAGAATAGAGAAATTTCACCTCAGGGGCTTTCAAGTTAGGTAAACCTAAGGCTTGCCAAGGGCTAAGAACTAATTTGGAAATCACGAGGGTGGAAAACTTATCCTTCACCCATGAATCTGAAAAAGTTTTTCTCTCATTCCAATTAATAGAATTTGTTAAGAAACCATTTAAAAAGTTGTGTAAATTTCCTCGTCAAGGCATCAAAGTGTTTAAATTTCAAGACATGAAGGCATCATTGTCACATTGTGACTTCAAGCACGTGAAATTGGGTGTAAGATAGAAATTTCTTAAACCCTTTTTAGCTCGCCTATTCGAAAAATAGGGGGGCAAATGTAGTCACCCCGTCGTCGGCGTCCCACCTTCCGAGGTTAAAGTTTTGGTGCAAGTTTTTTCAAAACAGTGTTGGATGATCATCACACTCAATACAAAGTTGTCTATTATGAGTTTAAGTCATTTATATCGAGTGTAAGCAATGTGCTGGACCATATGGCAATTTTAGGTCACCTGAGACAAAGTCTCAAGTGACCTATTGCGATCGCCTTTTGTCCGTCGTGCGTCCGTAAACAATTTACATTTTCGACTTCTTCTCCAAAACCCCTGAACCAATTTCAATGAAATTTTGCAGGGACCTTCCATGGACAAAGGTCAACAGAAACAGTTGCC